CCTCCCTGGGGAATGGACAGCGGAGAAGTGGGTGAGGGAGACGTCGGATGGTGTAAGATATGATATAATAATAATAATTTTTAAATTATCAAGGGTTCAGGGGGAGGGGGGAGGGGGGAGGAAGGGGAAAAATGAGCTGATACCAAGGGCTCAAGTAGAAAGCAGGTGTTTTGAAAATAATGATGGAAACATATGTACGGATGTGCTGGACACAAATGATGTATGTATGGATTGTGAAAAGAGTTGTATGAGTCCCTAATAAAATGATTTTTAAAATGTGCTGAAAAACTCAGTTTGTACACAAATATATATCAGTGCAAACGAGGGGGCTTGGAGTGGAGACCCAAAGCCCATCTGTAGACAATTAGTTATCTCCCCACAGAAGGGTTATAAGAAAGGGATAATTCAACCAAGGTGTAGTATAGCAGCAACGAATCACACATCATTCCTCTAGTTCCTGAATGCTTCCTCCCCCCACTGCCCTGTTCTACCTGACAAATCTGGCTAGACTGGAGAACACACATTGGTACAGATAAGAGCTCTCAACACATGGAATTCAGGACAGATAAACCCCTCAGGAGCAGTAGTGGGAATAGATATCATGAAGGTAGGGGGATGGTTGCGGAGTGGGTAGCGGGAGAAAGGGGGAACCCATAACAAGATTGGATAAAAAGCCCCACCCCTCAAAGCAGATGAGTAACAGAAATGTGGGTGAAGGGAGACATCGGAGAGTGTAAGATATGAAATATAATTGATAAAGGATTCACGAGGGTCGGATGGTGAGGGAAGGAGGAGAGAAAAAGAAGAACTTATATCAAGGGCTCAAGTAGAAAATGTTTCGGAAATGATGATGGTAACATATGTACAAATATGCTTGATACAATTGATGTATGGAATGTTATAAGAGCTGTAAGAGCCCTCAATAAAAAGATTTTAAGCAGAGAGAGAAATGGAATTTTCCTATATAGCCCTTGAAGTCCCCTCATATTGTGCTTAATATATTCAAATTGTGTTTTTTTGCAGTGATCATTTGACTTACATTGATACAAAGATTTAAAATTTCCATTTCTCTAGCGTTTATTATATGAATAATATCAGGATTATAGTACCTCAGGATGGATAAAGAACTTCCTCACTTGTGTAAATAGCTCCTCCTTTTTCAAGCCAGAATCTTTCTAAGTGACTGAATACTCCTCAAGTTAGGAACTTCTCCTTTGGAAGTCCGGAGAGTTCTAGTTTATTTCTGACTCTTTACGCTGTGCCATTTCTCTGTTTGTTCCTCTTCTTGTCTTCACCAAAACTCCAGTCTGTACCCACTCGCACCTATGATGGGTTTCATTTGAATCACCAACTTTTCTTGTTTCCAGGGCTTCGATTGCAATCTCTTTCCATTTTGTGTGGCCGATTCAATGATAAATCTTGGGGGGAAATTTACAATTTACTATGCCCTAGTTTTACTTTTTCTCTCACTATATTTAGTTGCCAACAGAATTGTTATTCACTATTATTGACAACATAAAGAGCTCTGTGAGCATGGGAAAACTGCCTTTAGGGAAAACACCGCACATACATTCTGCCTTCTGTGGGAAATATTACTAGCAAAGGAGAGTTTAGTTTCTAGGGTAAGGAATAACCTGTGCATTATTTTGTTAAGAAATAAAACATAATAAATTATACTTTGGTATTCTGGAAGCAATATGGAACATCTTAACCTGAAAAAGGTCAGATTGAAGTATGACTGTCCATTTACTTACAATGTACCCCCAACACTAAAGAGAAAACACACACCCTTTTTCTGTTTTTAGTTTGCATTGCATTACTTATTGATGCCCATGGTTTAATTTACAGGGGTTATTCTCAACTTCCATGTCTAAGTCACTATCTAATTTTCGGTTGTACGTTTGCTTATCTCACATTCTACTTATTTTGTATCAAAATAATATTGCCAATGGGTTTAAATGCAGAAGTAGAGGATCTATTATATTGTTTAGAATGAGCAATTTAAAGGTTGTTCTGTAGTATTCTTGTTAACTGACAAATGTCACCTGAGATTTTCACATTTATCACATTTAAGAGAGTGTAAGTAACGAAATGAGTTGAAGACTAGGTCGTTATAATTATGCCAACTAGCCTTTCTCCACCTCTTCCTCTTCTTCCTTTTCATTCGTTCAAAAGGTACTTACCGCAATTTCTTTTCTTTTTTCACTCAGGCCAAGACACTAATTTTCAGGGAACTACTTTTCATCTGCAAATTACTGAGAAAAAGCAAAGTCAGCATCAAATACCCAATAGCCTCTTGAGCATGTTAATATTTTAAACATTGGGAACCTCTATTATTTTGCTAGAAAATCGAGAAGCCCTGACAGTCCTATTTAGCGCATTTCTAATATGAACTTTTTGGTTGTTCGTACCTTCACAGATACACCGTGGAGTGAAAGGGTTTGTCCGGGACCTTCGAGGTAACCCAATTGCCAATGCAACCATCTCCGTGGAAGGAATAGATCATGATATTACATCCGGTGAGTGTTCTTTGCTATGGTTTTAGTTCTAGCGTTACGCTCAAGAACATAATTACTTATTATCGTAACTATAACTGTTGTAATAGTCTAGGGAAATCCATTAGATGCTTGGTATTTCTTTACCTGTGGGTCCCCCCCGCCCCTTCCCACCCCGGTTGGTTCCTGGACTTTGATCTAGATGTATTTGGGGGAGGAGGTCAGGTAGAATTACACTCAGGGTCGCTGCTGGATTTGGAAAGTAGAGTTCGGCAGATGGCGCTCTTTCCTCAGCCATCTCACTCCAGACCTGTGCTATCCACTGTCACCTTCACTTGATCCTGCTGGCAGAGAAAAACATCAACTTTGTTCTAATCATTGTAGGAGAAGTACTAACCATGGTGGTGGACAGCAGGAGGGATCTGCAAGAAGTAGGCAAGAAGATATGCACATCGTGTATTTAGAATGTCTACTTTTCTTTATTTAATGTAACAATCCTCTTTTCTCAATTTGTGAAGAAACTGAGGACCAGAGAGGTTACAGGGCTCATTCAATACTGCACAGAATAAGACAGGATTAGGAGTGCTGGCAGTTATTTCTAGATGTAAAAATCCTATTTCCATTTTCCCAGCTGGGGGATAATGAGATAATTTCCCAGAAAATTCATCGACCCTTGTTAGGATCTTTTCAACAATAATCGATTTTTAATTTTAAGCCTCTTTCATAGTTTTAGGCTTTGTAATCAATTAGTCTTCAGTATATTTCCTAAAGCAATTCTTTTTCTTAACTTCAACATCTATACCTTGAATTTTTAAAAAAATCATTTTATCGGGACTCATACAATTCATCACAATACATAGATCAATTGTGTAAAGCACACTTACACATTTGTTGCCCTCATCATCCTCAAAATTCGCTTTCCTCTTGGGTTCCTGGAATTAGCTCATTTCCCCTCCCCCCCCCCACTCCCTCATGAACCCTTAATTATTTATAAATTATTATTATATCTTATCTTACACTGCCCTGCGTCTCCCTTCACCCACCCTTCTGTTGCCCATCCCCCAGAGAGGAGGTTATATGTAGATCCTTGTGATCAATTCCCCCTTTTCTACCCCCGCCTTCCCTCCCGGTATCACCACTGTCATCACTGGTCCTGAGGGGTTCATCTGTCCTAGATTCCCCGCGTATTTTTATACTTGCTGTCTATCCTCTAACAATTCATTTATCCATTCATTCAACAGTTATTAACAACTCACAAAGGGCCAGCAACTCTTTCCAACCAATTTAGCAACTCTGTGCCAAGTTATTGCTCCACTTAGCCCTGGGGAAGGGGGGGAGGGCTGGCCTTTGGTGCCCATTACCCAAAAGGGGGCTGTCAGTTAATGTCAGTAGGCCATGCAAATGATTTCTCTATATTTCATCATGTGAACAATACAGGAAATCTAACTGCTCCACTAATTGTAAATAGAAAGAAAAATACATCTTAGGAGCAAACTTTGGGAGTTCCCACTCCTCTGAGGGCAGGATGAGAAGGAAGAGCTAGCAGTGGAGTCTGAGGTAGAAAGAAACGCGCGTGCATTCGTTGTCTTGGAGCCAAATGTACAGGACATCTAAACAAATAAGACAAACACTCCATGCAGATATCCAGTAAGATGGCCTTAGCACGTGGAAGGGCCCAGCAAAAGCTGTTTCTGTGGAGTAGGAGTGACACCAAGAGAGAATGAGAGACATTAGAGACAGAGAGTGTTCACAAGGCTTTCCAGAGAATTTTCTTTAAATCAAGTAGAAAAGCACCTGCCGGAGACCGATTTAGGATTTAGAAGTAGATTTGAAGATCGGTGAGGGCAGGCTTTATTTTTTCCCCATTATTGCTGTTTTCATAATTAAAAGAGAAAGTATCAGTTGAGAGGGAGGAGGAAGATAATTTGTAAAAGGTGTTAGAAAAAAGGAGAAAGAGTGAATCTTCCACTAGCGAATGACTTTGGGCCCCATCGCTCAAAGTGTTGTTCCCCAGCAGCAGCTCTGGCATCCCCTTGTCAGGAATGCAGGGGCTCAGACCTCCTCTAGAACTCCGGAATCAGAATGGGCATTTTACCAAGAGCTCTGCTAAGTGTGAAAAGCACTGGTAAGGCAAATGGGTGAGCAAGAGGTCAGTGTAGAGGGAAGTCAGGACAGGCGACACCATGGCTGGGCTTAATAGTGATTGTGAATTGGAGACATATCAACGTGGGTGTGCGTTTTCTCCAGCACATTGAAACCAAGGAGTGCAAGCACAGAGTAAAAGGGAACCTTACAAGAATCAAAACATGGTGCCCCGGTGCTCTGATCTCAGCGCTTGAGCACTGTATACATCTTTTCACTTTCATGACTCCAGATGTGACGGCAAGTTTCACTATCTCAAAAGATTGATAGGCAAGTTAGCACCGGTATGTGAAAAATTGCTAATGAGGCCTTAGAGAGAGAGCCTCACATTTTCCAATGTGTCACCAAATTCCCTGTATGTTTGCATTCACTACTCATGTACTGACACCAGCAGTGTGTGAAAATGGAGGGTGCTCAAATCAGATCACAAAATGATTTACACCATGATGTAGCTGACAGATTACATCATTACATACTATTGTAGTAATAGGATGTAGTAGATAGTGAGGCAGCTGATAAGTAGTGTACTTTTAAAATAGGGATTCAAAGAAGCTGAACTGAGGGTAGTAGGCATATCCTGGTGTAATTATGCATATCACATTTGTGCCTTATAAAGTGTTCTCTTTTCCCACAGCAAAGGATGGTGATTACTGGAGATTGCTTGTACCTGGGAACTATAAACTTACAGCCTCAGCTCCAGGCTATCTGGCAATAACTAAGAAAGTGGCCGTTCCTTTTAGCCCAGCAGTTGGGGTAAGTAATCATCCTCAAGACCAAGGTTTATTCAACACTTACCATGTGGCGGGCATATTTAAGCGATCGATGTGCAACTTTCATAATGACCCTGCGAGATTATCCTGTGGAAGGATATCATAATGCCAGCATGCTATCGCGAGGGACCATTTCTTACAGAAGGACATTGTGCTTTGTAAAATCAAGGTTCATCAAAAGAGAGGAAAAGACCCACAATGAGGCCGCCTGCCTGCAGCTGTGGGCTCACACATAGCAGCAATGCGAGGGCGGTACACACCAGGCAGAGCTTCATTCCCGTTCACACCGAGTGATGACACCTAAGAATAAGTTTCGGGGACCATGGGCCCCAACAGCCAAGGTCTCATAAACAGGCTTTACTCTCAGCCTCAGGCCGCAGGCCGGGGTGGAGACTTTCGTTTCCTTTTGCTGCCTTACAGAAAAGTCCAAATGGCCTTAACCTTTTCCCGTATTTGTAATGGCTAACAAGCACCCTGTTAGCACATGTGCTGTTTCACCTAATTAGCATAAGGTGATGTCATTCCCAAGGACCTGATCGGAAACTGCTGACTGCTGGCGCTGGGTGTGCTTTTGTAAGTTTTCTGATTGGGCGTTCAGTAGTAGCCTGATTTGCATGTCCCGCGGGCATTCCCTTCCTTTTTGTCTTGGTAAGCTGCAGCTTGTGGAAAAATAAACAGAACCGCTCAGCCTCCTGTCTCATCTCCATTCTTAGTGTCCCGCTCCCTCTATCCAGGACCCAAGTTGCTGTTCCCGCTGGACGGGACAAATAAGAACTACAAGCAAAGTTCTCTATTCTAAGTTTTATCAGAAATTGCGTCTTTAAGTAGATTCCATTTATTATTCTAGGAAGGTCATGCTGATGATACCCAAACTTATTTTTTTTGTTTGTTTGTTTTATTAGGGGCTCATACAACTCTTACACCAACCCATACATACATCTATTGGGTAAAGCACATTTGTACATTCATTGCCCTCATCATTCTCAAAACACTTGCTCTCCACCTAAGCCCCTGGTATCAGCTCCTTATTTTTCCCTTCCCTCCCCGTTCCCCACTCCCTCATGAATCCTTGATAATTTATAAATTATTATTTTGTCATATCTTGCACTGTCTGACATCTCCCTTCACCCACTTTTCTATTGCCTGGCCCCCAGGGAGGATGCTATATGTAGATCCTTGTAATCGGTTTCCCCTTTCCAATCCATCCTCCCTCCACCATGCTTTCTCCCCCCCCCCACCCCCACCCCATACACTATCATGATACCAATTCTACCTTACAAATCTGGCTGCACCAGAGGATGTACACTGGTACAGATAGGAACTGGAAACACAGGGAATCCAGGGCGGATGATCCATTCAGGACCAGTGGTGAGAGTGGCAAAGTTCTTTTAGAGCAGGATTTTGCTACTTTTTTATTATTTCACTTTGACTATTGGATGGCATGCAAGATTTTCAGTCAAAAGATTTATTTGAAAACAATTTATCATATGTTTACTCTTGTACCCCACATATGGAATAGACATTCTTGATATTCACCAACAAAGGACCTTGTGTTTTTAAGTGGTGATTGGTTTTAATTAGGCTTATGAATGCCTTAAATGAGCCTTGATTTTGTGGTGGGTTAGGCATTGGTCTGTTAGGCCCAAGGTCAGCACTTTGAAGCCACTAGTTGCTCCTTGGGAGAACTGTGTGGCTTTCTCTTCTCACAAAGATTGACAGTCTGCAGGGCCAGTTCTGCACTGTGCCATAGGGTTGCCGTGAGTCGGAATGAACTCCATGGTAGCGAGTTTAGTTTTGGATGTTTAATGTATACCTTAGGTTGTATAGGTATAAAAATCAGGGAGCAGATTTGAGCAAATAATCTGGCAAAAAGTAGCTCTGAGAAGAGGCTTTAAGAGTTTAACTATTTTGATCCTTAATTTTTCGAACACATCATACATAAAGTAGGTAGTGAATGCAGCCTCATATCTAAATAACCCTGAATTCAGCTGGATGCTCCTAGGTGTACGGAGAGTTGGCTTCCAGGACCACAGACCTCGATGGTGGTTGGGAGGCATACATGATTCTATCCATTTCTCTAACATACTTGAGGTTCTGTAAAACAGAACTGCCTGACTTAGAATTAAAGAACACTGAACTGGAGGCTTCCATAGATTTTCAGCTATTAGGAGAACATTCAAGGTGGATAGGAGAAATTCAATGAATAGTCAGAAGTGGAAAGATAATTATGTATCATCTTTTATGGGATAAAAACACCGGGCATAGGATTTTGCTTTAAATAATTTTAACAAAGCGATTGAAGCACATTTCAAGCATAATAGCTTTTGAATTTTTCCCCCTTTCTTTTGTACCTTTTTCTATCACTAGAAATTTGTTAGGGCCTACTTTATTTAATTCAGGTGATTAAATTGAGCTTATTAAATTCAAAATTGCCCTTTTTTTCACTTCAGTTTTTATAAGTGTGTACAAAGTTTCACAGCGATGCTCTTAACTCTCCCTTTTAGGTGGATTTTGAACTGGAGTCATTTTCTGAAAGGAAAGAAGAAGAGAAGGAAGAATTGATGGAATGGTGGAAAATGATGTCAGAGACATTAAACTTTTAGAAAGACCTGTAATAGCTACTTTCAACCCTATTCATTATAGCATATTATGATGTCATGTGGGCATTTCTTTTAGACTTTATGCAGTTAATATTAAACATTGATTTATTTTTAATTATTAGATATTAATAAGCTTCACTTAAAGTATGCAGTTAGACTCTTAGGTAAAAATGTAAGAACTTGATCTATCTCATTCTCTTAACTAATTAATTTTCCTATATATATTATGCAGAGGACTGTAGGAAAGTTGCAGATGATCTTGCCATTTATTTACAATTCCGACCCTTTGAAGTAAATAATTCCAGCTTTTAAAAATTAGTGACATCCTTCTGATATGATTGGTGGCAATATTACATGAATGCCATTGCAAAAGTAACTACCCAGCTTAGGGTTGTGAGCATTATACTGCAAGACTTAAATAGTTTGGTATAAATTGTCATTTGTCACTTGTGCTGACTAGCTATATAAGCATGATCTTGTTAATGAATTTTTGATGGGAAAAAATAAAAATGTTTACCAAGAAATTTTATGAAAGAAATGGATATTCATGTCTTGCTTATACATATAGGGACAATGCGGTTATATTATTCAGCCTGTTAACATTACTTCAAGGCTTAGTGTTTATATTTTGGTTGTTGATTGAATCAGAACTGCATTCTAAATCAATAAAGGTTAAAAAAAAACCTCTCTAGTATGTTTTTTATTCTTTAGAATCTTTAGTTTAGAATTGAGGTGTTATGTTTAGAAATAAAAATTCCTTGCTAGTGGCTTCTCATTTTTTCATCCTCCATATTAAAAATTGTATTGTCTGCTACATGCTAAGCACTATTCAGATTCCATATATTGTTTATACTCGTATATAAGCCTAGTTTTTCAGCACATTTTTAATGCAATTTTTGTGGTAAAATTAGTTGCCTCGTCTGATATTTGGGTTGGCTTATACTCGAGTATATATGGTATATCATAGTGGAGAGAAGATGACCATTCCTGTACCTATGGGCCAGTTGTGGATAGAGACTTTAAAAAACATGCACACAAATTGATAGGTAATTATGCAGCGTGATGAGTGCAGTGGATGCATGTGCGGAAGGCAAGACACAGACTAGATGAAGTGGGCCAGGAATGGCCTCCTAAGGAATTGGAATATAAGCCCACATCTAATCTATGAGTAGGAGTGAGTGATGCATGAAGACTAAGTGTACATGTGAGTGTGTGAGTGTAAAGTGGTGCTTCCTGTCGTGGGTGATCAAATGTTTCATGGATATTTATTTGCTAAAATAGAACTAACTGCTGTACTAATAGATTCCTAAAAATATAATGGCCTCAATACAGTGTTTCTTGGGCAGACGACAGAGGGGATGGCTTTTCTGCAGTAAGTTATCCCAGGTTCCTGGCAGACACGTACTCTGCTATCCTCTACATGTGGCCACCAAAATTAGATGGTTCATCTGTTCCTGTCAGCAAAAGGGAGAGAACTCATAGAGGAAGATGGGGGAGAGG